CTTGCTTACGGCCATACCACTCTGAATACGCCCGATCTCGTCCGATCTCGGAAGCTAAGCAGGGTCGGGCCGGGTCAGTACTTGGATGGGAGACCGCCTGGGAATACCCGGTGCTGTAAGCTTTTCTTTCTCACCTCACACCACCAGAGGCCGCTCTTTCCTCTGCAATGGAGACACCTCTTTAAAAAACACCACCACTGGAAACATTTACATGATTTTTATTTGCTAATCTGGACTTCATGCTCTGTATTATAGCCTACCTGTACTTTTACTTGATTTGTATTTTGACATTTTCAGCAATCATGTTCATCAGGCAGATGGGAGATCTCTTTGTACAGTGTGCAGAGCTGCTGATATATATATATTTGGTGCTGTAGTGAGTACACATTAACTCAAAATGAGCTAGTGTGTGTTCATAGTGAAGAAAAAAACGCAAAAATATCATTTGAAAATATAACCAAAGGACTGTGTTGTCTTGTCCTACTTCACATTATGTGCTTTGCACGTTTTCTTTTTCAGAACATCCAGGATTATTTTAAAATGAGGACACATTTAATATTCAGTAGCATTCAGGATTATGATGAACTATGTAGCCTATATATAATCCATGAATTTGCTCAAAATGCCAAAAGTATAAATAAAGTAAAAGTACAGGTCCACTATAATACAGAGTATGTGTTACAGTTCTTCATGACCGGATGACTCGACATACATGACGGATATCCATAGGCTTGTCTTTAACTCAAAGAGTGTTACTTTATTACACACACTTGTAACCAGCATCACATGCACACCGCTAGACGGGAACTAGACACATAAAACATTGTATTACTCCGCCTACACGTCACTAACATCATCATGACAGTATAAGTGCGCGGCACTATATACTACAGTATGAAGTCCAGATTAGCAAATAAAAATCATGTAAATGTTTCCAGTGGTGGTATTTTTTAAAGAGGTGTCTCCATTGCAGAGGAAAGAGCGGCCTCTGGTGGTGTGAGGTGAGAAAGAAAAGCTTACAGCACCGGGTATTCCCAGGCGGTCTCCCATCCAAGTACTGACCCGGCCCGACCCTGCTTAGCTTCCGAGATCGGACGAGATCGGGCGTATTCAG